CCAGTTACACGTTAGGTCAGCCCCAAGTGGTGAGATTCAACATTATCGTGCTCTGTTTCAGCAAACGGTCCCAAAATGTCAGAGCAAAGCATTCAGGAGTCGTTTTCCATGCAAGCTAGCAGATGTAAATGCACAGCTCCCGTTCATTTCAGTGGAGACTGAAGCATCTGAACAGCGCCCCAGCAGTGACTTTTGGTAATGCCACAAGGAGCAGAGTCCCAGACATTCAAGATCCTCTCCTAAGGACAGCCAGGACCTGCTAACACTCACAAGACAGACAGCAGCTACAGGAACACGGGGGAATCCTCTTACCTTATTAACCCTCTGGGCCCTACGTGGCTAACATCTCTTTTATGCTCCAAGAGCAGATTTAATCATTCCCACATTAGCAGATCAACATTTTCACCTTAAATGCTTCAAAACCAGTCTCAGAGCTGCACACGATTAATATTGCAACGAGCAGACTGCCCCGTGCTCCTCCCAGCTCTGGACATTGCTACCACTTGCTGCGTGTCTGCCTAACAGGGACTTCTGCCTCCTTCGCTTCCCCCTTGTGTTCTCCTCCCAGGTGCCTCCTGTTATAACCAACATCACAAAATTTGTGAGGGGAGGGAAGAGAAGGGAGTTATCAGCTGGAAACAATGTCCTTTTAGAGCTTTTATGTTGTGTTGGCATTCACACGGCACCTTCCCAGCCCTCAGGGGTCTCTGTTAGGGTACAATAAGCCCAGGATCAGCGCATTTCAGCTCAAAAAGAAAGCAATGAACGTCAGAAAAGGGGTGCATGTGCAGCCTCATTTTATCTGCTCATGGAAGAGCTCCCTGCTGCCAGCTCCTGGCCTTCGAGACCTTTTTTAAGGGTTGTCCTCCGTGACACCTGGGCTGAGAGGTCACAGGTGGATCTGGTTTATCCAAACCTCCTCCCCGACCCCGCCAGGCCAGGAGGATGAGCCAAAAGCAGCAGGGCCACCACAGCCACCTGCTGGAGATGTGGGGGCTTTTTGGTAGGGGCAAGGTGAACCCATCACCAAGCAGGGAGGTGAAGGAGCCTTATTACCAAGTGCAGGGTTCAGCTGGCCTCAGGACCCAACGCCTGCCAACACAACCCCACCACCAGCCCGGCAGAAAGCAGGTCTGTCAGTTTGTATTTGAGAGAACAGTTTTCTGGAGAAAACCTGACATTTTACCTCCTCTGCGTGTTAATAAAACATGCTGGCGTTTGAAAAGGAGAGGCTCCGGGTGTTTCTTATTAAGCAGCAGGGGGTCTGCAAAGTCTGCTAAATACTTAATTGGGTGCCAGCAGGTTCCTTTGGTAGCGGCAGACCTCCGCGGGAGAGACAGAGGTGTCCCCCTGGGCAGGGCACAGTGGGAAGGTTCACAGGCCTGCACCCCAGCACGGAGCAGAAAAGCTCCTCTTATTTCATGCCACATTAGGCTGGATGAAAGGCTCTCCCCCCTCGGCCGGCTGCCAGTGGATCCGAATGAGGCCAGGGCTCCAGCACTGCGCTCTTCAGACCTGCTCACGAGGAGCAGTCTCGGCTTGCAGCTGCCTGCATTCCTCAGAGGTTTAAAGAGGAGAAAGTGTTGTGTTTTTTTTAATTATCTCACCCCCAAATGAGCAGAGGAACCATTTTATAGTGATCTGTTAACAAATAAAGACTGGCTGTGTTACTGGAACGCCTCCAGAGGAGGGCAATAAAGTCATTAAGGCAGGCAGGTCCCATGAGGAGAGGCTGAGGATGCCTGGGATGTCTCATCTGGAGAAAAGGAGGCTGAGAGGTGACCTCGTGTCTCTCTGCAAATTACTGAGGAGGGGAAATGGAGCAGGAGGTGCCGGTCTCTTCCCCCTGGTCAGCAGTGATAGAGCACAAGGGAACAGCACAAAGCTGCCCCAGGGGAGGCTCGGAGTGGGCATTAGGAAAAATTTTTTCACTGTGAAGGTGGCCAAACACCAGAACAGGCTGCTTGGTGAGGTGTTTGATGGCCTACAGCTGTCAGTGTTCAAGAAGAACTTGGATAATGCCCTCCTCAATACACTTTAACTGCTGTTCAGCCCTGAGGTGGTCGGGCAGTTGGACCCTACCTTTTGGGTCCCTTCCGACTGACCCAACTCTTCTAATTCTGACCTGTTGGAGTCAGGAGTCCCAGGGCCAGTAAGAGGAAGATTTCGATCAGGAGAGGGTGCTGCCTCTCTCAAAGCCTGGCTGTGCACAGCACTCTGCTCCCGGGGACATTGGGGCAGCCTAGTTCTGCCACCTGACCATCCCCAGCAGAAACCAGCAACATTTGGAGAGGGAAAGACAGAAAGAGCAAAAGAGCTGCCTTCTAGCTACCATCCACACAGCAACAACTCCACACATCAAACTTTACATACTTTATTATTAGAGAAAATACGTATTTGCAGCAAAGTAGTCATAAAAAAAAGCACCTCTTGACACAGGGAATTGGACACACAGACATTACACACATCCACGGGGACTGCCAGCCCCGATTGCTACTGCATCTCTTCCTCCTTCTGGGCTCTGTACTCCTTCATGCTCTTCTGCAAACAAGAACAAAGGATAAAGGTTAACAGCACGCATCTGAGCAACTCACACACCTCTGCCCCTGCCCCGCTCTGTGCTGTGACTTCTCTGCCCAGCCCCTGGGAAGGCTGCAGGACCCAAAATGCCCTGACAAAATGGTCCAGGTGCTTTCAGAAGCAACTGAGCCCTGCCCCTGTGCCCAGCTGCAGGAGCGCACCCTACAGAGAAGCTGTGCAGGCGCTGGCATCATCCTGCTGGAGACCCTGAGGCTGCCCCTTTCCTTGGAGGGGACAATCCAGCACGCTGGGAGGACGCAGCAGCTGCAGCTCCACCTCTCAGCCTCTCTGGTGCTAAAACACACACAGCAGAGGAAGCGCTCAGAGGTGCACAGCCCACAGACTTGGAAACCCACAGTCCAACCAAGGTCAGGCAGAAAATGTCTGAAAAAAATACATTTTTTTGTGTGTCAAAAGTGCCTACAACATAGTTCTCAGCCCCCTCCTTTCCCCTCTGAGACCAAGAGACAGAAAACGCTCCCCAGCTCTTCAGGCAACAATCTCACCTCAAAGGTGTTGAGCACGTGCTGGCAAACTCCCATCAGGTCAGTCAGCCCCTTCCGGAACGGCTCGACAGCAGGGAGAGACCCTGGAGGAAAGAAAATGCAGTAGTGAAAGGGGGGGTGGCTGAGGACCTCTCCCTCATCACTGCAAGGCAGCGCAGCTCTCACCGAGTCCCTGTGATGGGGAGAGGCTCTCACACAGCACCCAGAAACGTGCCCGCACCCTCCTGCCTCGCAGCCCAGCCCAGCAGCCTGAGACCTGACCTCAGAGAGGTGGTCTGCGCCGTGCAGGAGCAGCAGACACTTACCCTGCGGTCAGTCCCATGAGGAAGAGGTTGTTTTGGCAAGGCTAGACTGAGCAGGAATTAATTTTTAAGAAATTAAAGAGTCAGCAAGCGCAGACTGACTGCTTTGCTTCCAGGAACTGGCTTCTACGGATCCGATGCTCAAGGGAACAGCCCCATGGGGAAGGAATGAAACAACAACACCCCTCCAGGCAGCAGGCAAAGCTGCTGGGTTGGGGTGCTGGGAGCAATGAGCGAGTGCCAGAGGCTCAGAGCTGTCAGTGCTACCTACTACCAGGGGATAAAGTCCTCTTTGGCAGGCAAGCCAGTGGGATAGCTCAGACAGGGGAAGTTTTTCAAGAGAGCCTCATCCCATAGCTGGCAGGGAGAGGGAGGAAGGAGCTATCCTGCAGCAGCCAGGTATGTCAGCCCTGTTTCCAAACCCCACGCTGATTTACAGATGATCAGCCCTGCCAGGGAGCAGCAGATTGGTTTCATCCTTTTGCTGCTGTTCAGGGCCTGCTGCCAGCCAACCCAGACACCTGGGCCACGGGTTCCTCAGGCAGGATGCTGCTCAGCTCCGCAGCTGGGAAACAAGATCTGCAGTACAAAGCTCAGGGCAGCCTCCCCAGCTGAGCAACAGGGCACAGCAGTTGCAGATGGCTGGCAGAGAAACAAGAGGAAAGTGCTGCTCTTTGTTAGAACAACCCAGGGCCGAAACCTGACCCGAGCAGGGGGGATTCCCCCCAGAAGAACCCCAGACACAAAGGGAACGCGGTGTCCGTACCTCTGGTCTGGATGCGGAAGTTGATCTTGCTTTCCGAGGGGTGGGTGATGCAGTAGCCACAGAACTGCACGTCGGGGCTGCAGGAGGAGAGAGAAGAGAGCAGTGAGGGCCAGGCCTGCCCACGGCACAGCTCGGGGAAGCCAGAGGCTCGGGCCAGCCAGACCTGCTGGGGTTGACAGAACCGGGGTCTCACAGGAGGGATACACTGAAGGGAAGCAGCCTGTGTGACTTTATTCGTGTTCTCCACCTCGCTGCAGCTTTGCAAAGGAAAAAGGCGCCCAGGCACCAGCCTCGCACCACGGCCAGAGGAGTTTTAACTTTTAACCTTTGCCATATCAGACATTACACTTCTCCCACAGCTAACCACGGAGGAGCAGAGAGAGGCAGCCGTTACCCAAGGGCCAGCGAGCTGGGGGCCATAAACAAGGCAGAGCCACCCCCAGAGCCCCCCAAACCCCCCATCAGACCCCCTCAGCGCCCCCCCACTCACTTCTTCATCACCATGTACCGCAGGGAGTTGCCCAGCGTGTGGTCCTCGTCGTGCAGCACGAAGGTGACGCAGCTCCCGTCCGTCCCATCCGCCTGCACCTGCCGCAAACGAGGTAAAAAAGGAGGTGAAGCCCAGTTGGGGTGTGGGGGGGGTGCCGGGGAGCCCCCGCCGCGCCGCCCCTCACCATCTCCAGCGCCGCCTTCCTCTCGCCCTCCTCCGCCATGTTGCGCCGCCGGACTACAACTCCCAGCGTGCCCCGCGCTGGGCTAGGGAGAGCCATCCAGGACTACACGGTGGGACTACAACTCCCAGCGTGCCCCGCGCGGCAGGAGGGCCTAACGGGGGCGCCGCCACCCGCGGGACTACAACTCCCAGCGGGCACCGCGCCGCAGACCGGAAGCGCGTCGTGGCGGGGCGGAGGAGCCGGGCGGGCGGTGAGCGGCGGGGCCGTGAGGGGCCGTGAGGGGAGGGGGGCGCGGGGGGGGCTCCTGTACCCCGAGGGGGGTTATTTTTGATTTTTTTGAGGAAAATTCATATGTTCTCTGCCTGGTAGGCGCTGCCTCACGGCGCTGGAGGGGCCTGGAGCGGCTGCGCGGCCGTGAGGGGCTGCTCGTGCCTCTGTGGTGATAACCGCAGTTACCCAAGGGTTTAATCGCTGCCTGCCCGCTCAGCTCTGTGGTGATTTTTTTTGTTGTTTTCGCCCCGGCTCCTTCAGGTGGAGGCAGCGGCTCCTGCAGGACGCCCCCAGGCAGCTCCAGCCCCCGTGGGCCCCGTCTGCAGGTGGGTGGCTCCGGCCCCGCGTTGCAGGCCTGTGGTGGTGCGGCCTGAGGGGCTGAGGGGGGCCCTGGGGGGGTTGAGGGAGGCTCCCTGAGGCAGCAAAATGTTTTGGGACCTGCCACTGCTGTGCCTGCTGTCACACAGGCAGCGTGTGGCTGATGCAGCAGGTCAAGGCTGGCTTAAAGTGATGGATGCGCCAGCTTGGCCCACCTGGGGCAGGATTTTGGGGAGCTCCAGGCTGGGGGCAGCCCCTCTGGGGGCAGCTCTCTGTGCACAGGCGGCCCTAAAGCCCTCTGGGTGAGCTGTGATATGGCAGGCAGGGAGGAAATGCTGTGGTCAGGCGTGTGAGAGGCTGGCAAATGGCTGGGTGCTCTGCTCGTCATATGATGTGCTGCCTGCCCGCTGAGCTCGGGGGAGCGATGTGAGGAAGGACGGGGCGCTTTGGAAGCAGGTTTTGAAGCTGCTGTAAAGCACCTGGAGCAGTGGGGTGGGGGCAGCGCTGAAATGTGAACACTGGGAGGGTCCCTGCCTCAAACGGGGCTTTGACGTGAGTGCTTGAGGTAAGCTCTTAGGCTCCAGTGAGTGGCTGCTCGGATACATTTGGTTTGATGGCGATTCTTTTCCTCCCTAAGCCTGTCAGTCGCTTTCTGAGCCCGTGGGAACTGTTCTGCTCCTCAGTGTGGTGTGGGAATGAGCTCCGGAGGATGCGCTGTGGGAACAGCCGCTTCCTTCTGTGGGACCTGTCCTTGAACTTCTCAGTTTTGTGTTAGAAACGGCGAGCAGTCACAGTTTTCTTCTCCGTTTGTATATTCTGTGCCCGCAGTGATCTCCAGGTGGGCGCTGACATTGATTGGCCTTAATAAGCACTGGCTGTGCCTGCCTGCAGAGATCCTCCTAGATCCGGGACTGCGAAGCGGTGGGGCTCGCTCGCTGTGTTGCTGACAGACTCTCTGCTAGAGGGCAGCTGTGAGCCTGCAAGTCCTGGGCTGGGGGAGGAAACCCAAACCTGGCTGGTTTTTACCTCTCTCTGCTGCCACTTTTAACCGTGCTGGAGTTCCAGCCTGGAGGGGAGAGGGAGCAGGCAGGGGAACACCTCTGATTCTTCAGCAGTGAGAGGGGACTGCTGATGTGGGTGCTCCTCATCCTCCTCCCTAACAGTGTGTGCTGTGCCAGCTGGGTGTCAGTGCAGTTGTTAAAGTCCCTGAGCTGTGCCCAGATGAGGATGGAGCGGGGAAACAAGCAACGTGCGGCACAGGGAGGGCAAGGGGAGCTGTCATCTGGTGAAGAACAGCAGATAAACGCAGCGTGCTGCCTGTGCTCCGAAAATAGGCCTTGCTCTGAGGCGGGGAAAGTGAGAGGCCGGCCATGCAAAGCAGCACGAGGGGCTCCCCCGAATCCCTGGTGGAGATGCGTGGGGCTGAGAGGTGCCAGGTGTAAGGCAGGGGAAGTGAAAGCAGCAGCTCTGCCTGAGGGGGGGCTGCAGCCCAGCGCTTCCTTCCCCCCGCAGTTATTGGTGTGCTTTTGTGGTACCAGGCAGGAGCAGCAGAGAGCAGCTTCTGTCTGCACGGCGCGGGGCTTTCTGGGTGTCCTCCCTCCCCCCCCTGCTGACACCGAGCTCTGGCAGTTTTTCTAGAGCGTGCTGTGCTGGAGCTGCGTGCTCTGAGGGCTTCTGCTGCTCCGGTTCCCCCTTGGCTTGCTGTGGTCTCTTCTCAAACTAATTCTCTGCCTTCTGCTCCCGTAGGCGGTGCTGGCCCTGAGTTTCTTGGTGCTCCCAGCTGGTTACAGATTGGGGATTAACCATGGGGTGTCTCCTCTGGATTAATCCACACCTTTATGCTTTTCCCATCTGATCTCGAGCTCTCACACCCGCAGGAGGTTACCTGCTGCTGGCCGAGCCTGAATCCCTACAGCTCTGGCTGACAGAAAGCAGAACCGTGAGCCCTGGTGCACTGCTTGGTTGTCTCTTAACTTCATGGTCTTGCTTGTGGTTGGTTTTTCTACCCGTGGTCTTTGGATCCTGAAGCTGAACCTGTTGTACTTATTTCTGGAGAAGTCTCCAAGCTTTCGTGTTGTGCTGCAGCAGGCGTGCAGACATCCCGGAACACAGAGATGGCGCAGTACAAGGCAGGTAGAGTCAAGTGCGAAGTGGAGAAATGAGACTGCATTGATTTATTGCTTTATTTTGGTAAGGTCTAAAGTCTTTCCGAAGCAGAAAAGAGGCTGATGGAGGTACTGAACCAGGCATCAGTCACAGCTGTGGTCTGATGTGGTTTCATAAACGCTCTTCTAGAGGTCGTGGTAGTGTTGGTGGTGTTGTGAACAGAATGTAAAAGGGGGAATGAGAGAGGTTTCCTGCTAACACTACCCCATTGGAGCACTGACCGCGCTCCCTCCCGTCATGCTGAGGGCTGGGAGGATGTTGTGAAGGCTGCAGTGTGTTGTCTGCCAAATAACAAACCAAATTCTCCTGTTCTTATTTCCAGATAACGTGAAGTCATGGCTATCCTGTTCGCTGTTGTGGCGAGGGGCACAACCATCCTTGCCAAGCATGCCTGGTGTGGAGGAAACTTCCTGGAGGTGACAGAGCAGATCCTGGCAAAGATACCTTCGGAAAACAACAAGCTGACCTATTCACACGGGAAGTGAGTCGTGTTTCTCTTCTGGGTGTTGGAGAGCCTGGCTGACATGCAGGAGGATAGCAATACATGGAGGCAGCGAAACTGAGTTCTCAGCAGTGTGTCTGGATGCGTTATGTTAGTCTTTCCTCTGGGTTTGCAGAGTAACCAGGACTTGAGCTTAGCTTAAGAAATGAGTCCCAGGGCAGCTGGTGTGAGATGAAGTTTCCTGTCCTTACACGGCTTCCACAGTGAACGGGAGGGTGCTCAGCTGTGGGTGTGTATTTGGCTTGTTGTGTCTGCTGGCTTTTCCAGTGCTTTAGGCAAAACCATCACTCACCTCAGAGCAGTTGTGCATCCTGGTTGCTTTAAGGTAAGTCCCACAGGTTGTTTCTCCAAAAGGCAACCTGAGCTACCACAAGCCCAGTGTCTGGGACAGGCGTTTAACTCGGGCTTGTACAGATCTCTGAACAGTCCTTGGCTGGTGTTGATGGAACATGTTAGATTCAAACCCTCCTGGCACTCTGCTGATTTATTGCATGTGAGAAGTAAATAAGTTAATGTGCTGATGGGCACACTAAAGAAAAGGGCGGAGAAAACAGATCCAGCAGCACTGGATGCTGTGTCAGCTGTCTTTTGAGTTAGCATTGTGGTTGGATTCTCAGTATTGTCCAAGCTGTTTTCTTAAAGCTGTTTTGGCTGCCTGAGGATTCAAAAGATAAGAATTTAGGCAGTCTTCCTTCGCCTTTCTCTGCCTTGGGACCACTAAGAGTCCCCGTGGAGGAGCTTTCTGAGGAGGCTGCCTGTTCTGTGGTCTAAAGTACTTTGGATGCTGAATCATTTTCTACTGTAATTTTCAGGGAATGGTCATTTCCTTTTGTGTTACCTTCGCCTTGAGCGCTGCTCAGCCAACTACAAAACTGAGCTTTAGGAGTGCCACGGTGTGTTCTTAGAGCTGAAAGCTGGAATTGTGGTGTAGAGGTTGATTCTCTGTGCTGGCAGCACTGAGAGGCAGTTAACTGATGCATCTACACTTGCAAAGCGTGCTGTGAAGTGTATAATCTTTGTGCTCACTACTGAAGGTTTCCTTAATGAGGCTCCAACAACTGTTGCAGAAGATCAGAGCAGCTCGCAGTGTGGTTGTTCTGCTTTGCATTGTGCTGCTAAAAATCAGCTGGGGCCCGTCTGCAGCTCTGGGTGTCTCCTCTGCTGATGTTCAGTCTCTTCTGACAGGCCTTCTACAGCGTCACTTTTCCTGTGCTCTGGAAGAACGCCCTCCTAGGTCAGAACCTGCCAACCCTGCCTCCCCGCTGGCAGAGGGGAAGGAAGAGTGCCTAGCCGTGTCTTTGGGCACAGCATTCACTGATATCTTCCACGTGCATGCTTTGGAGCTGGCACTTTCTTCCTGTTGTCAAAAAGCAAGGATTTGGGTTTGTAGAGGTGCAGAATAGGCACTCTTTCTTTTCTTTTATTTTTCCCTTTCATGATCACAATACCTGGACAGATCGTCACAGCTTTAATGAAGCTGAGTGTGCTCAAGGAGTTGTTATTCTTCCTGTCTTCAGAGATCTGCCTTGTCAGGGCCCCAGCCAATAGGCTAGAGAATTGTACCATTGCCTGTCCTGGGTGATTGTTTTGCAACAGGAGAATCTTTTTATTTTGCAACAGGAAAAAAATAGGCTTATATTCCATTTCATGAGGGTTGTTGCCATTGGTTGTTGGTTTTTAGAAGAACTTCTGGGTCTTTCATGTAATCTCCAAGGAAAATCAGCCTTCTAGCATCAGGAGTTCTGGGTGGTGTTTTGTCTCTGCTGTTAAGATCCTTCTACAAGTCACTGGGGAGTCCGTAAGGCAGTGCCAGGTGAGCTTTACCTCTCCCTTCAGAACAGAGGGGCAATACCTGTAGGTATGGAGGGATTTTTTTTTGAGAAGTCAGCTTAAGGACAGCAAACTATTCCTACAGCATGCTCCCGAGGCTTATTTCAGTGTCCAGTTATTCATATAATATAAACCCTGAGTTTTAAAGCTACAGAGCTGCATCCTTAAAGCTGTACAATGCAACTGCTCTGCAGCAGTTTTTTGCAGCATTAACTCCCCTGTATTGTAAAGGCTTTGTGAAAGGGTTCTGCAGCGGGTGGTGAAGGGACAGTGTCAGGAAAACAACAGCTAAAGCCAGTGAGTTGGCAGCCAGTGAGCTGCTCTGAGCAGTTCTGGTTTGCATTTTGTTGTGTATGAACTTTGCTTGTTTTTTCTTTTTGTCATGTGCCTCGAAACAACAGCCTGGTTTTACTTGAAGAAGAAGATCCTGCTTTCAACCATGGGTTGTTTGTTTTGCATTTACCTAACGTCTGGTTGCACCACACCTCCCAAGGCATTAACGCAGCCACGTGCTTCAAGCCAGTTTGCCCTGATCACTGCTCTGTCAAATTCTTTTTCTTCTGTGGCTGCTTTTGTTTTGTAGTCTTTGCAATAAAAACTTGAGGCAGTGCAAGGTGGTCATACAAACACGGCTAAAGCAGCAAGGCACTGTTGTAATGAGGTTCGTTAAAGTATTAACTGGCCTGTCACTCCAATCAACTAATCTCTCAAGCTAACTATGCGTGGATGCTTGGATACCCTGACGAGGGTTAGACAGGAATCTTACTGCTGAGTATCCCATCGAGGTTTTGTTTTTCACAAGTAAGTAGCTGGAAGAACATGGAAGTGAACTTGTTTGGCAGCTGAATGCCCCCCAGTTACTGCAAAGCACAGGATGCTGACAAGTGCACGATGTCAGGGATCCCTTAACGTGTAAGTGGTCTCGCAGTGGAGCCTATAGGAATGGAGATGCTTAGGATCTGAACAAAGCTGGCTGGGGTATGTTGGCATCTGTGCCTTTTCCTGTACTGTAACTGGAATTTGCCCTTTTACAGCCCTTGAAGGCCCTACAGACGCTGGCATCTTCCAGAAGATTAGTCTTGTGGCAGCTTCAGATGACTTGTTTGTTTTTTTTCCTCTTTGCAGTTATCTGTTTCACTACATCTGCCAAGACAGGATCATATACCTCTGCATCACGGATGATGTAAGTATTTTGGGTACAGCTATTGCATATACAGGCTTTTCACAAGATTTAGCTTTTTCTGTCAAAGAAAAATCAATAATGGGTGCTAATTTGAGATGCCTTTTTTCCACTGGAGCTTTTAACTGATAGGAATGAAAACGCAGCTCTGATGGCTTAGCCTGAAACTCAAATGCACTGAATAGTTAGCCTGAAGTTAAGTTCTTGTTTTTCTTGGTTTCTCTCTCAGCAGCCCCAGTGCGTAGAATCTAGATGTAAAGATTGCTTTAGCATTTCTAGAACTGGAGTACAATGACCATTAAAAACCAAAAACTTCTCCCTCATTAGAAAAAGATACCAGGCACAGAATAAGAACTACATATATTTAAATAATATCTGCTTCCAGCTGATGTCCAGGAAGGTGCCTGGGATTTGGCTGCTATTAAAACCCCAGGATAACCAGTCAGATCCTGCAGTGTCGTGCATGGCGTGCCTGCTAGGAACTGATAACTGTGGTGTCTTTGGCTTCATGCCCCATACGCTTCATTATCTAACTGACTGGCTGTGGTCTGCTCTTTCCCTTTTAGGACTTCGAACGTTCCAGAGCCTTCAACTTCCTGAATGAAATCAAGAAGAGATTTCAGACCACGTATGGCTCAAGAGCACAGACAGCCCTTCCCTATGCAATGAACAGCGAGTTCTCAAGTGTCTTAGCTGCACAGCTGGTGAGATCTGTTGCTACAGGGGGTATTGCTCTGACAAGTTAAACTTCTCCCCAGAAGGTCTTCCTGTATTTGTTCACTTGTAACCGAAGTGCCACATTGAGACTGTAAAGCCAGGGGAATTGGCTGTTTTCCCTGTGTTCTCCCTACAGCTGAGTTGCTTTACTGCTTCAGTGATTATTATCCCCAATCCCCCCCTTTTTTTTTTTTTAGTGATGCATTCACTGTTTGCACCGTATAGGTGCACTTTAGATCTTAAAGATAATGTTTGAAATCTCAGATTTGAAATCTCAGGGCATCGCTGCAGTGCAGATGCAGTGAGGAAAGCCACTGTCTGAAAGGGAGCTGCCAGCAGCATAGTGCATCTTCTTGCCCAGTTCTTAAGAAATTGTCAGGTTTCAGAAGAGTTTATTCTAGCTACCCTGTGCCTGATTTGGGAATCCTGAAGGGACAGGTTGATCTGGTCTGGAGTCCCTCTCCAACTGGGAGTGCAGAGGAATTGCGTGCTTATTTCACTTGCCACAAGATCCTGGTACAGCCCTGGAGCTACATTCCCACTTTCAGAGAAGCGCTTTGCTTGCTGCTGATGTGAGGTGTGGCAAAGCCCACAGCTGCCAGATGAGGTTTCAAATACCAGTATTGATTTGTGTTTTATTCACAGCAGTGTATGGGTACAGCTTCTGAAGTATTTAAGTGCATAGCACAGTGTTTGCATTTTCCTTCAGCTTCTGTAGAATGAGATGAGCTGCATTTCAAAGACAGTACTGACTTTATGGGTAACCTGAGTCTGCAGACAACATCCTGCCCTACTTCAGTGGGGTTTTTTGTGCTGGAAAGGAGAGGAAAGGCAGAAAGCAGTTGCTCTAGGAAAGAGAAAGGATGCTCTTAAAATACAAGGTTTCTGGTAGTGGCAATGTTGTGGTTCCTGCTTATCCCTGCTGTTTGGTTTGCAGTGGTAAAGTTCAAGCACCTGCAAAGAAAAGAGTCCTGTGGAAATGTACAGGCTTGGTCGTGGTTGCTCGATGTAATGTCAAATTAGAGGAATGAAGTCAGATAGGAATAGAGACGGAATAAATAACTGCCCTGTGACTCATGATCAATAATGTTATTAGTGCACAACGCCTCAGGCTACATGGCCTGCAAGAAAAGTGTTTTTAATCTTGTTTAAAGTTCAAGTCACACTTCTAAGAGTTCGTAATTGACTACAGACAATTTCGTAAGTTGAGCAATACTATTTTTTTGAGACCTGTCTGAAATTAAAAGGAGGATGTCCTTGGAATATTGGCTTTCAGAGCCAGTACACAGGTTGTATCTGGGGCAGCTACAGCTGGCGCTGTACACAAGGTGTAGGAGGATCCTCGTTTGCTTTGCTGTGACTGGTGAGCATGTTAGTGTTGCTGCTGCTGTCCTCAAAGCTTGTTTTGTTTTTTTCCTGTTGATTTGCTAAAAATGCCAAATTTCATGATATTCCAGGTGCAAAAGGAAAAGTCCTTTGCTGCTGGTCTGGGAGCATAGCTTGAGTAAGTGCAAAAACCAAACTTAATAACGCCCTCCAGCAGGAATAGTTGCATTTTGGGATGCAGGGTGTAGCTGGGGGTTTTGACATGGGGGACCCTGAAGGAAGGATTTGCACTCACACTGTTACTTCCTGAAGCTTGTACTGGAGTCTGTGAAAAGAGTCGTTTGTGTTGGTACCTTCAATGACGAGCAGAGGTGATTCAGAGCATGTAAAACTGCACGTAGTTTATTGCACAAACTATTCTTTGGCTTACGCAGCAGACAGAAAGCAGTGAATAACAAAGCCAGTGTGGCTTCAGAAGAGCCCAAGGAGTTGTGCATAATAAATTAGATTCAGTCCTATCATAGATAGGAAGTTCGTTTTTCCCTTTCCACCAAGCCTTGATGTGTGAAACTGAAACTCCCCGAAGTGATGACTTGTCGAAATGTGATTCTGGGCTGCAGTAAGCCTAATGAATTGCCTTATCAGAAGAGCCATGGTGGTATTACTCCTCTAAAAATCCCAGCCTTTCCATCTCTCTAAAGCACGGAGTAGAGCTGCTTTCCTCAGGTTTTGCATATTGATGAATTCCAGGCATCGACTGATAAAGGTTAAGCAGTAACAGAGAGCTGTTCCCTCAGGTGGCTCTAAAACTCGCTAAGCTTAGAGCCCCTAACAATCAAAGGCCTCGTAGTGCAGGAGCAGGGCTGTATCGAGGTGGTTACAGAAGTAACTTGAGGATGCTGAGTGTGGAGGAAGAGACCATGTGGCAGTTCAGAGATCATGCTACTACTCAAGTGCTATCGCTGTTGATTATGGCATGAGCATATGGACGCCGTTAGAAACTGTTGCTTCTTCCCATGTGGTCAGAAATGGATGCAAATTGAGCGCTTATTGGGGAGAAAACTGGGGTTTAAGAGGCCACACGGGTTGTCATGAAGTACAGTACACATAATGTCCTGGTCTCTGCTGTCAGCAAGAGTGGTCTCTTAATAAGAGGTGCTTTGTGAAGGCCTTCAGATAGGAGTGCAGTGGCTGCAAGTGTAGAGCAAGCTGAAGGTTTATCCATGAATTTTGTGAGAGAGACCTGTTCCCCTGGGTGAAGGAGACTTAGGGAGCAGGGCAGTGGAGCTGTAGCCAGTGTTACTTGACTGCAGAGGACCTGCGAGGACAGCAGACTTAAAGTCAATCCAGGAATAGCAGAACGTAGTTATCTGATACTGACTTCACCTCAACTCCCCTCCTCTGCTTCTGCAAACATCGTGAGACTCCTTTTACGCTGGGGATGTTGGCTGGTGCTTCTTCCCCCTAGCTACCCACCAAAGGTTCACTGGTGACCTGCTTACATCTTTACAGGAGGAGCAGTTGGGCAGCTCATACCGGCCATCCCAAACACTGTGTGGTATTTGCAGTTTACAGGCCCCCTCTTCTTCTTTGTCAGAGCTCCTGCTTGATGCTCACCTACAGAGAGATGCGTTCTGCCTTGCGTGTGAAGTTACAGGGCTCTCCTGATATGTTTCACAGAGGATTATAGAAGGTCATGACAAGTTCTGAAGTATTACAAAGGCAACAAAATGGTGTGTGGGAGTGGGAACAGTGTCCTAACTTCCCTCGCTGCAAACTGATTAAACCTTCAGAAGAGGCTGTTACTTTTTGGGCACTCTGGAAGTTGCAGGCACTTGTCTGCTGTCTTCCCTTTTTGTTTGAAGTGCTGTGTGTGCGATGCTTGCTGTCATTGACTATTTGTTTGTTACAGAAATACCACTCGGAGAGCAAGGGCACTGACCAGGTGGCGGAGACGCAAGCCCAAGTTGATGAACTGAAAGGAATCATGGTTCGAAACATAGGTACCCGGCTTCTTCTTGTGCCTCCCCTGCAGGGAGAGTTGCTGCGAGCAGAGCTGGTGGTGGGCTGTCCTCTCCTGACAGAATAAACTGGGGAAGAAGGGGCTGAGGAAGCTCGGAGTTTATGAGCTGTTAATTGTGTTGGATTTGGTACAGGGTGGCTCATGGGAGCAAGGAGCACTGCTTGATGGCACTGCAGAGCTTGCAATGGGGTGCAGCGTGCTCTGGACTTGGTCTCTTTGTCACTGTGGCCTTCCTGCAGCTGCTTTGAGGAAAATGTTCTCAGCATTTTGTCCCGTTAAGACTTTGGACTGGATTTGGACAACTCTGACCACTTAAAAATAGAGGAGTAGATCTGGGACTGACCCAAATTGAGTGGGCTTAGTCCCAAAGCATGTGAGATGTGAGACTGTTCCTTAAGCATCATTGCCTGGCAATCTGGAAGTGTTGAGGACCACTTCTTGTCTCAGACACCACTGCCAAGAGCTCCTGGCTTGCACTTGAGCTTTGGGTATCAGAATCCCAGTGCAAAAAGCTTCTACCTACCAATTTTTCTTTCTTTCTTCAGACCTCGTGGCACAAAGAGGAGAGAAGCTGGAGTTGCTGATTGATAAAACCGAGAACCTCGTGGATTCGGTAAGGCTGGGGAAGAGCTTTAGAAATGGGGAAATTGGGGCCCTGCATCCGTTGTGCTCATTGAAGAGCAGCAACTAGAGCTGCTTTTAAACAGACACCGAAGCATCAAGATACAAAGACTCCCTGTGTCAGAAACCAGTCCTGTCTCATTTCCACCCTCCTTATACCTTCTACCCACTGCATACCAGCCTTCCAGCTCCTTAACAGAATGAAGGAGTAAAGTAAGTGAGAAATGACTGAGGAAGCAAATTTAATGCAATTATAAAGCACATGCTATCCAGTAAAATGGCCTGGGCTCTGGAAACTTTTCTGCCTTTTCCCTAGGAATCCCTAGACCTGACTCAGCATCTTCCTCTGCAGGGTCCAGGAGAGTCCAGTGGGTCCTGTATGGGGTCTGAGGAGATGTAAATGTTTCAGAGCTGGCAAAAAAAGAGTAATGCTTTAAGAGAGAAACAAGAGAAGCTCGTGATTACCCAGTTGGGAATACTGTCCTCCAGCACTGGGTGTTTAAACCTCACTGCTTTCTCAGATAGTGACAGGAAGCGTCTGTATCCAGCAATCCTAGAAACACCTAAAAACTTCACAGCTGGGGAAGAGAAGTGTTCCCAAAGTTGAGGTGGGGGCTGAGCCTGGAAATCAGCTTTAAATTAAAATTACAGTTAGGGATGCAGTTCTGCTCGGTGTCACCTTATCTGAAAACGCTGAGGGGTGCTTTGTGGGGAAAACTTGAAAATAACCAGCAGAGTGTGCTGCTGAGCCAGCTCAGCACAGGTTCTGCAGCCTTTCTCTGTGCAAGCATCTTGCATGCATGTGAAAAACGTTACGCTAACGCAGCCTGGTGGGTGTTCAAGGTCATCTAGCAACCACTGCCTGTCTTGAACAGGAGAGCTGTGGGATATTGGGCAGACTCGGAGCAGGACAAGCATACTGGAGGAAAGCTCTAGCATTAAAGGGCTTGTTGACCAGCCTGAGTAGATAGGCTGTTGAGTGTAGGAAATATCATGAAGTCCTTAAACATTTTGGAGCACTTCAGTTCTCCAAAGTTTTCAGGTGGAATGAGAATCCAACCAGCGGTAATTCAAGGTAAACTAGTCCTTGTGGACAGCCTACAGACCTGGTGATGTTCTGTGTGCTTAATTCTCCCAAGCTGAGTGTGGGAGGGCACAAAGTCAAGCTGGTTCTGGACTTACTGTTATGCTTTTTTGTTTGTTTTTTGATGTTACCCCTAAAGTACTATGGGAGAGAATTTTTCTCTTGATGCCTGTTTGGCTTTGCAGTATTGTAACTGCAGGAATTAAATGACTGGAGGAGATAACTGTAGTGCTCTGGGTTGTTAGGGAGGCAGGATGGTGTGGGTGCATGCATCTTCATCTAGCTGCCTGGGATGCAGCTTTCTTTACAGTAGGTTCAGGAATGAAATAGCTGCTTTACTTTCTCTTGCAGTCGGTCACTTTCAAAACTACCAGCAGGAACCTTGCTAGAGCCATGTGCATGAAGAACCTCAAGCTCACCATTATCATCATCATTGTATCAATTGTAAGTACAGAGCTCTTAAGTCAGGTTTAACTACTGGAAAATGCCACCAGCATGTAGCTGTTGCATGCATGCTCGGAGTGGTCTTAGCTCTAAAACAAATGTTACGGTGGTTGTATGGGAGGTATGGAGAGAAGAGCATTGTGCCAGGCAGCTTTTCTTTTCTGAGGCAACAGGAAAAGCTTTCTAGACAACTTTGTCTAGCTTGTAAGAACCTAAGACATTAAGCTCATAGCTTTTTAGGCCTTATTTCTGTTGGTATTTAGTTAATTAACTCGGGACGGTGTACCTCCAGCCTGTAATAAATGCAAATGGTGCTAATGATGCTGAAGTGTAACTTCAGGTTAGATACTGTGAAGTACTTTGTCAGCACTGAACCCTTTGCTGGAGGACATTTCTCATCCTGTGTTACTGCGTGGATGTGGAGGAGGAGGTCTCGGTGCAAAATTCTGTAGGGCATCTGACAAGTTATTTCAGGGTCTTCATAACATGGGGTTTCCAAACTTGTTTTGATTGCCAGGCCAAGTCAGTAGTTGGCTGAAGGACAGAGATTTGATTCTCTGCTGAACTTTACTGTTTTCTTTCCCCAGGTTATCATCTATATCATTGTATCAGCTGCCTGTGGTAAGCTTGCATAGCCAACCTGTGTGCAGAAGTAACCGGGAGCAGTTGGTGCTGGTCAGTTGGAGATGAGAATCACAGGAGTGTGAAGAAGCAACCTACAGAATAACTCTTAATCTTTCACTACTGACACCTTCTCATTCTTCATCCCTCCAGGACTTCAGACTTCTTTGCCTTACCACCCCAAACAGGCCCAGCTGGTCGCTGCTTCTGTGCAGCTGTAACCTCAAGACTGGGCTGTTTTAAATTACTTGAAGGGATTTTTGTTTTGTTTTTCTGTCCCATCTAAAGCCTTCTCAGCTGGGTAGGCAGTACAGCCAACTCTGGAGGGCACATGCATCCTTGCCCATGTGCCCCTGCAGCTTTGCACTTCCACGTGAGCGTGCAAGTGGAGAATCACGGTTTAGCAACCGTCCTACCCACAAGGATGGCACTGGAGGGTAGTTCAGGGTGGGCTGAGCCAAACTAACGGGAGAGACACGAGATGGATGTGTGCGTTTCCATTTCCCACAAATGGTGGAGATCCAGGTGCCCCTCCCTGCACATCTGGCCTCTTGCAGTGTTCCAGCATGTCGCGATTGCAAGTGCAATATAGGTAGGAAGAAAATGGCTTTAGGGCTGGGCTTTATGCACTGTAAGATGTAGGTGCTGCTTCTGTATGAAATCTCCCTTTTTCCTGGTGGTCTTTCTGCAGTTGGTAGGAGAGGGTGTTAGGTCACCTTGGCGCTTTGAAATGGCCTCCTCTTCATCAACATTTCTTACTCCCCCTTTAATTTGTGGCTAAATCAATACAGTTGGAGAGCGTTCCATATAGTTAAGGTTGCAATAATGCATATGCTTTGTCACCTATTATTTCTCTTGTTCTTTTGAGGTTGGACTAAAATGAATATTAACATTCTCACTTGTTAAGGTGAAGTTGGGGGGCCAGTCAAGGCCAGACTATCAATCTGGCTTAAGGTGTCAGGTATTAGCTGCTTGTGCTTCTACTCAGAAGGTTTGTGCTAAAAACTGAAGACAGAGAAGGAACGGAAGGCTGGAGTTGAATGGATGGTTACTTTCTCTATGGTCTGAAGCAGAAAAGCTCTCTCAGAGGATGTAGTAACAGGTATTCCTGTGTGCAAAAAAATAATATATATATATATACCCAAATCTCCAAGGCTAATAACCAAATGTAGGATCAGGTACCCTGGTAATGTGCTGCTATCAAGAGTATAGGGACTGCTCTGCCTAGCGTTGGAAGCTGTGATCACTATTTTTGTCCCATCTGGATATCTGAATTACCAGGCCATGAGCCCCAGACAGCCCCAGGACTGGGGGCTGTGCAACAAGCAGGCGGGGCAGTGTGGTGGCTGGGAGTCCTGGCTGACTGGAAGAGAAGCTGTTGTTGCCTGGGGTGCGAGGAGCGTGGGGCTTCCATCTCATATCTTAAAGGATTATTTTCAAGAGAAGAAATGGGAACACCTGAAATCTCACAAAAGCATCAAGTGGTGTAAATGAGGAAGCTGCACTGCTTTGGCACAGGGAAGTGACTTGTAAGGGTGGGTGGAAGCTGTGCAGCTGTGGGAAAGGGAGGCTCAATTTGGTGACTAAACTCTGACACTTGGTGCCATGGGTTCCCTGAGCCCTGCAACACGGGCTTGCCACAGGCAGGACAGTGATGTTAAATGGCTGCTCCTTCACATGCTTTGCTTGGTGTATGGTACATTGACCTTGGAGCTTTCCAGCAGGTGCCAGGTAAAAAGTCTTCCTGTAAACTTGCATGGTTTTGGCTAATTTTACTGATGGCAATCAGATCTTGGATATCCAGAAAGTGCCAGTGGTTCTGATCAGTACTGTGGTCGCTGGCCTTGGTTTCTATTTTGTTTTACACCACTGTAAAGCAGAGAAAGACTTCCTCTTACCTGGAAGTGGATGTGGAAGAGAGCCCTTCTTCCCCTCCTTAGTATCCGTACAGCCTCCCCCCAGGCTCAATGTACAATTGTGCATGTTTTAGGGATTGTTGATGTTACTGTGTTAATTTCTATGATTTGTTGTCTTATGTACAAACACTTTTTAATGAAGACTTCCTTTTCTTTTAAAGGATGCACTGAGATATTAGTGTAAAAACAAAGTTAACCTGATTTAAATAAAATTACTGTACAGAAAGCAGGTTTCCTTAGTTTTGTGAAAGGCTGCCTGATGTTCCCATGAAGTCTGTGTGTAATTTCTCAGCTTTGGGAGGATTCTGACTTAGCTTTGATGCAGGTGTTAGAGCCTGTCATGACTTGACAGCGGGTTTCTTTCTGATGATGGAAAGAATCTGCTTCTGCCTGGTTTTAACTTAGAGCATCTGTGAGTGCCTGGGACAGAGGAATGCTGAGAGATACAGGACAGGATGCCTGCTTGCTCAGGGCACTTGTGGGGGTGGAGGGAATATAAAAAGAAGTGATGATACGGGCAGCGGTGCTGTCACTTGGAAGCTAAATAAAAATTTGTGTGAAAACATGTTTTAAGGCAATTGTCAGCAACATGAGATAAAACCCCTGTGTTAGGCAAAATCCCTAATGATGGATATCTTTCCTCTCTCAGTCTTAGCCAGGAAGAACCCATCTTTTCTGGAAGAATTTACCATACTGTGCTGGACTGGTTTACTGCAGCAGCAGCTGGTGCCTAAGCTCCCTGCCTTGCACTTGAGTCTCCATGTTTAAAAAAAAAAAAAAGGGCAATAAAGCTTGGTAGCCTTTCATCTACCTCAGGAATGTTAAGTGGCTGGAGTAGTGTTAGGTGCTGGAATCAGACTCATGCATCGGTATGAGGGGGTTGGATTTCCTCTTAAACTTGCAGAAACTGTTGAAGTTCAGTTGATCGTTATCTTGGTGTGAGGTAAAGAAAACTTGTATCCTAACCATGGCTGCTAGGGCTTAGAGATGATACAGAATATCAGACTCTGAATGAAGATCACCTGCTCTAAGCCTGGCTGGGAAAATGAAAGGATTTATCTTGAATTAACATCTCTTTAGTCTGGTAGTTCTTAGAGCTGGGTTCTGTGCTTCATGCTCTTGATCTGGACCATATAGCCCTCCTCTGAGGAGGGATAATCATCTTCAAGTGCTTGTTGGTATCAGGTGTATATTGAAAATGCCCATGAATTCAAGCAGAAGCTAACCTCAGAATATGGGCCTGATTAATCTTTTGGCTTGCTTCTTCTAAATTAGCCTCAGCTCTGCCTAGAAACATGTATCTAAAACTGACTCTGTAGACAGCTGCCTTGCTGTTCACAGAAACAGTTTCCAAAAGCTGTTAAACTTTATCTACAATATAAAGTATTTAAACACTTTTACTTTCTCTAGGAAGCTTTTGTTCTTTATTTTCTATTAAGTACCTGATTAAATAAGTAGCAGCTGTCTCAACTTAAGAGGCTACAGAGAAATGTAGTGCATGTAAAATGCTGGCATGCTCTTAACTTTGGAATATAAACCCCAATAAAGACAAAAGAAAAATTCTACGTAAAAACAATAGAGGAATCTAGCTAAAGTGTTGCTAGTCTCTTATTTACTTTCCCAGTGCACAGAGACATAAGTCCAATGTAATGAGGTTTCCATTTTTTCCACCTGACAGGTGTTAAAAAAGAATCTTCTCCACAATGGAGAAGCTTTTACAAGACCATCCTGTAAACCTTCAAGGCTTTATCAGCGGTAGCAAGAAGCCTGTCTGTCTAACAGCAGTCATCTCTGGCCTTCTGGCATGTGGAGGGGAAGTGCTTAGATTCAGAGAATGAGGAGTCGCCTTAATTCATTCTTATTGGGCTCTCTTCTGAAATGCAGCTGTGCTCGTAACAAAAGCCTTCCTTTTTGCCCTTCCACTAAGCGGAACTGGCTTTGAGATTTACCAGGGGATTTCTTTCCATCCACTCCTATCCACACTTTTCCAGCTAGAGGCTGCTCTAAAGTGGAAGAAGTGTCAAGAAACAGTTGTATACAGTTATCTTCTAATAGGAAAACACTGATATTCATTACAAGGAGCATGTGGAATGGGAGAAAGAAGCCCTTGCAGTTCTCACTAGCTTACATGTTTATCTCTTTCAACAGGCAACAACCTTAGTCTCAAAGCTTACGCACCCACTGCAAAAAGCTGCTATTGTGTAACTGTTCTCTCTGCCCCTTGTGCAAAAAGGTCAGCTAACGCCAGTCCTGCACCAGCATTACCTTTCTAGGAGCAGTCAGTAGGTGACACAGGAACATATTCATGAGAACTAGTCTGAAACTCAACTTTATATAACTCTCTTCCTCTTTTTACCTTTCTAGAACAAACCTGATGCAAAGCGTGATCTCTGCTGTAAAGTGCCCTGAATGGCTTCCTAGTTGCAAGCAGTTTCCCATATTTTATTTTGCTTAAGCCCTTTGTGGATGTTCTCCTTTAAGACATGAACTGAGTGCTATGAATTGTTTTCCTGTTGCTGACACCTACCTCATTCTTCTGAAATCCAAAGAGCTGAAAGGTAAATACCAAAGCTCTGTCTAGGTAAACAGGTCTCCAAAGGGAGTCTCTCAAAAGAGCTGAAGCAGACTTCTGTAGCGCTGGGGCTGTCATGAAAAGCAGCCTCACTCCTAGCACAAAAAACACGCAGTCAGGCTCACTGTTGGAGTAAGGCAGATCTATTTCAGCACCATAACATTTTATTAAACTACACTATCAAAATCACATTGATGGCAGGGAGAACATTGCTATCAGTGCATATTTTGTGTACTAAGACTGTAGCCTCCAGCACTTGCTGAGGAAAAGGACATTGAAACAGAATCCTTCATAGCCAAAGAGACAGTAGAAAACTCTTCTACAAAAATGAGGGCAGTTAGGGGCTAGTTGAAAGATCAAAGGGAACCACTTCAAGTCAAATCAGTCAGTGGGAGCTATTTTTTTAAAAAGTTTGCTTGTAACTGGTGTTTGTCAACTTCCTCATATGAGATATGAAGATGCTGATAAACAGCAGTTTTCAAATAGCATCCCCCGTCCCTGCAACTGCCTGGTCACAAACCCACACAAATATTGTGTACTGCTCCTTCACTTGTGAACTGTGATGCACACACTTGAATACAACAGCTTGAAGTATGCTACAGTTATAAAAACCTGCTTCATTTCCTAGAACAAACAATAAAAATTAGCAGAAATACATTCTATACAGAAGTAAAAAAAAAAAAAAGTTGTTTCAGACCAATATTAGAATACACCAGGTTGAAGTTAAAAAGTCTTACTTCTAACACCTATACAGCTATTTCTAGTCTCCCCAGGCCACTGCTATGTCACACGCCACAGCAGTGGCTCAGAGCTGCTTTCTGGCACAAGCAGGGCAACCAGCAGCCTTTTTAAGCAAGCATCCTCAGGAGCAGTTCGTAAGAAGCTTTTTTTTTTTTTTTTCTTGCAACAGGCCTTCCAAAGGGCTTGCAAATAGAGGTTAGTATGAAATAAGGCTCTTCTCAGTCTTCGTGTGAAGACTTGTATTTCAGTAACTGTTTTGAACGGTGGGAACATGGTAAAGCAGTTGTGTGTTCCACCGCTCAGGACAGGCTCTTGACAGTATTTTGGAAGGCGAGGATTGTTTGCATTCAAGAGGAGAGGAACTATACACATCAGTCCCAAAGAGATGGGTCTCTCACGTAGAGGATTGTTTTAAAATAATGTTCTCAAAGCCCAGCCAGCTGGGGTTCTGCTTCACAGAGGTGTTTGGCAGTGCATCGGCATTTTGGTTGTGTCAGTAACACCCATCCTTCCAGGAGTCGTCCACAGTGTTCTGAGTTGTCTTTGCTGATTGAAGAAATCTGGTTTGAGAGACAAAGAAGTCACTACCAGCTACAAGAAGCAAAGTTCCAGGTAATCTGTTGGTGCACACAGGAACGAATGCATGTGTGAAGCTTCAGTTTACACTGGGCTTTTGCAGCATCTGTCACATGACAGTGTCAGCAGCAGCCTGTTTTAGGTAAACTGCTGCAGTCACACAGGTACCCAGCCTGCCCAGCCCCTGCACCACGAGGCCCACGCAACAGGTACAGCAGCAGCTATTTCAGGCAGCTTAAAGCAATTGAGTATGAATAAATACTTCAGCAGAGACCTATTTAACCTGCTGTGCTACCTTATGAGCACTACTGTGGGTTTTCCCACACCTGAGTCTAGAACAATTTTTTTCTTGCGAGTATGACTGAATACATGAACTACATTCAAGTTGTATGTAGAGTACTGCTACAAGTCAAGCACCTAAAAAAACAACAACAAAAGCACACTAAAGGGAATTTTTAAGTAGTAGACACATGTCAGTTTAAGGCTATAAGCAGATGTTTAAAAATCAGAGTACAATATTCCTTAGCAGGCTGATATTCAATCAAGTTAATTTCCCATTAAAAGTTTACATTAAAATTGTGCTGCGAACAGCTATAAAAAAAATAGCTTTGGGCAATTTGGTAGGGGGCTTGCCATGCACAAGAATACAGCAGATGGCTGGGGACAATGGGATAAGAAAACATTGCTCAAATGGCATAAAGCAGTCCATGCATGTAGTTGTTAAAGCCATTTTAGAGATTTTAAGGAGATTGGATATGTTCTAACTAAACAGCTGTTGCTTTAGACTATCTGCAAACTTCAGACATCTACTGTCTAAATATTTAAGTATCCAATCACAAAAGCTAAAGAGCTAGAAGTAATTGTAAAACAAATTCAATTGCATCATACTGGGTTAAAATACAACCTCAAAATCAGTTCACTTACGCAACAAGAACAAAAATTACATTTTTTGGATGCCATTATGTTTGCTTTTTTTTATTGAGTTACTTTAATGACATAGGATAAATAGTCAAGGTTTGTCTTAAACATATTCCTATTTTCCAAACCCTTCTAAAAACTCATTAGGTTTTGGACAATGGCCACCTAGACTCCTAGCTAAACACTAAAAAAAATGAAATATTTTATGAGAAGCAAAATTAGAGTACCACAGTCAGTCACCTGGGAAGATTATTATATTAACAGAAAATAGAGTTTATTTGTCTTTTGAAAGATTTTTTTTCCTTCCCCAAACCTAGGTGTATGCACCAAATAAAAAAGTTTCATAACTGTTCATTTCTTATACAAATATATTTGAGCCTATGGCTCCACATTTTCCTGGACAACTAGCTTTGTTTAAA